CCCGGGTTCAAATCCCGGACGAGCCCACTAACTTTTTGCAAAATTTTGAAAAACTCCCGAAGTGACCCGATTGGACCTGGAAATGATTACAACTTTTCCGGATAAACTGAAGCCGAAAGACGAAGAAATATATTTTTTTCTGGCTAAGGAAGGGCAAGGAAGACGAAAAATCCAAGATAGCATCGCCCTTTTTGATGCAGTGCTGCGCAAATGTATTCGCAAATAGGAAAAACTGGGGAAAAAGTCGCCGACGAACAATCAATTGGAAATTCCATTAGCGGGCCCCGGTAATGACGGAAAAGCCGTTCGGGATGGGAAATGAAAAATCCCGGCGCGGCGACGGAAGAAAATGTAAAAATCGTCGCTGACGGAAAATCATCGACACAACTCGGAATTCGATAAAGCCCATATCGGTGGACAAATGAGCTGCTTCCTCACTTTGCCATTTTTCCCTGTTTTCGCTTATTGCTTTCATTTGTTTTTAGTTTTATTTTTGTTTCAGCACCGGCCCAATCAGGCACTCGATTTCCCGTGCAGTCAAGAAAAATTTATCTCGTCCCATGTCATTTGCGATGGCCCAAAGAGACTGTTAGAACCACTTTTGGCTTTCCCGGCGACGCTCGTCCGGCACGGAAATTCCGTTTTCCCGTCGCTTTCCCGGCCTCAACAATTGCGCATTTCCGCCAGTACGTCCCAGCTTCTTCCCGCTTTCCATTCGCGATTTGCTATTTTTGAAACTTTTCAATTTGCGCTTAAAACAACTGTCTATTGTTCTGCCTGAAAATCCGATTGTTATTCCGTGCCAATTCCAACTCCTGATTTGTAACACTGTTCTGATCAAAGGGTGGGCTCTTCTGCCTGCCTGCCTTGCCTGGGGCATGCTTGATTTCCCTTTGATGTTCCATTGTCGATGCTCGATTGTCAGTTTAACGTCCCGACGCCGATAACGCGATTGCGACTAGTTTGAACACGTCTATAGTAAATAGGATTCTGGATTTTGTTTTGCTTGGCTTGGTTGAACAGCGTGGGGCCAACTGAATTTTTACATTTCTTTTCTGGTGCTACTTTGAGTGAATAGCACGCGAATGCCATTGGAGCTGATCAAAAAACTTTGTATATTTATTTTATTTATATTTTATTGAATTAATTGTGCGAACTGGATGACACCTTCGGATCCAGTCCTGGAAGTTCTTTACATTTGCACCCTGTATAGGCAAAAAATGGGTGTTTTTTCCTGGAATCGACTGCAACTAATCGATGCTCTCTGAATGAGGTCTGCTATCGAGCGGGCGTCGTTTGATTGACAGTTGAGTTGGCGCATTTAATGGAGTTCCTCCGTTATCTGCGCCCGCTTGATTATATTAAAGCGTTTTGATTCGGAAGAGTGCGTGTCCTAATGGACATTATTATGTATTCCAATGTGTTGCGAATGCCAGTGGCGCACTAAACCCCACTGATACTGGGCATTATCAATTATTCTTCAAAAGTCTGATTGGGCTCCCGGAACAGGAAAGAGTCCCTTCCTTCCCGGACTGCCGGGCCGAATGTCCTTTTCCGATTCGCCGTTGTCGTCGCTATCTTTCAGCTCGCTCGATAAACCGGCACATAATTTTCGTTTTCAACGTGTTCCTTTTCAGGAGCTGAGCACCGTTAACGAAAGAAAATTCAAAGAATTCAACACGTTTTTCCAGTGGCAACCACACGATCGTTCATGGCTTGCCATTGGGTTGCAAACTAGCCATTGTTAAGTGGTCGGGTATGGTTGCGAGTGAGATGTCAAGATGCTGGGATTGTTTAAATGAGGGCGGGAGTGGCAGAGGGTGCGGAAAGGATTCTCTTGTCGCTTTCCGCGCCAGTTGCCGCCGCCAAACTCTCGATTCAAGTGGCACGCATTCGAAACAAAAGCCTCTAAAAGCCGGGGAAATTTGGAAATTCCTCGCTATAACATTTGAGTAGAGCCACCCCCAAAACGAGGTTAAAATGGAGCAATGAAAGGCGTAAATGTCAAAGTTTGACATAAACCCATTTCAGAAATATACAGGGGCGGATCCAGCTTTAAAGTCAGGGGGGGTTATGTAGAATCAATACAGTCTTATGTTGTTTATGAAATTACAAAAATGATCGTCGTTTTGTGCAAGAGTGGCGCAAAATTATTGCAAAATTTCATGTTTTCCGTCCCGTTTTGCATGTTTCTCGGAAGCCAAATGAGCAAGAAGAAGTTTCTCAAGAACCATTCGAGCCACAGAATTCGTTTTGGCATCGTTGGATAGAGAATTGAAAGAATTCCATTCAGTCGTAACAACGTTAATGAGGAAATTCGAGTAATTTTGACCCAGAAAGCGACATTTGAATATCAGACACTTAGGTGCAAGATTATGCCAAAATTCCATGTTTTCCGTCCCGGTTTTGCTCATATCTCGGAGGCAAAACGCGCAAGAACGCTCATTTGTACATCATTCTAGAGATAAATAAATGGCCTTTTTAAAAAGTGAACCATGGATGGGGAAATGTTGGCAGTTTTCTCAAA